ATTGCAGGAGCTTATCGGACCATTTACTGGCAGAGGTTCCGAGAAAAGTACAAGACAAGAGGCTTGGCATAGAACTTGCTGCATTGAGGCAAGGAGTGTGGACTGTGAGTGGCGAGAAAACATCGGAGATCTACAGTCCCTATGGTGACCACCTGAGGTGGATTGAGACATCGAAACAATTGGCAGACCCGCTAACCAAAAGCATGAAGCCGGACTACCTCCTCAAGACACTGGAAAGTGGCCTTGTCAATGTCGAGAACAGTGGCGCATGCGAGAAGGGAGCCAAGAAGAAAGATGAAGAAGTCTCACCTGACTTGTTTTAAGAATTCGACATGGAATGGCATGGTTTACGGCCCCACGGGGAATAGAGTTGCTTGGCTGCCTTTGTACAAATTTGAACTGTAAAGCCCGCAACATACCTGTAGATAAGACGGGTGTGAATTTCACCGATTGTAGCCAGGGTGTATTGCGTACAGTTGATGCACCGCCGCTGCTGTTTCGGCTGAACAGGGCCCTTGAGCTGATTCGCTGCTGCGAAAAGGAACTGTGCGAGATTCAAACCTGTGTCATTGAGGTTGTGAAAGTAACATGAAAGTATATTCAGACATGACACGTTAAAAAATGTCAATCAAAAACAAAAAGGGCAAACGAGTGCGCATCAAGGCAGGAAACTGTTTTTCTTTCAACTTGCTGGCCTTTGGTTTCAGAACATCTAACTTTTCATTTGATTCGTTTTAGATCAGGAATCCCTACCTAAATCTTCAATGCATACCCTCAACTACTAGGGTCTGGAACGGGTGACCCAAGTTCTCACAGACAAAAGCCTAAGATGGGTCATGTTTTCATTGTAGACCTTTCTAGGCTGGGTCAAGTAAACCTTCAGGTATAATGTTGCGCTTTCAGAGCTGGTTTTGGAGTCATCAAAAGTTTGATGGAAGTTGAACAGAAGCGGTTATGGTGAAACAGCTGTTCTTTTTTGCGATCAGTGACGGGTCCTAAAATGCCTGAGCCGCCCTTCGCGCGCGCGGTGTGTGAGCCCCATCTTCATCAGATTGGGCCAGATTGGAAACTTTTGGAATGCGCGTGAACTGATGCCATTCGAAACCTTTCGTTTTTTTGGAGATCAATTTTTGTTTCTTTTTGCGTGTGAGGGCACGTGTGGAGCAGACTGTCATCCGCCCACTTGGGATTCCATTGTTCAGCGCAGGTCAATGAAGCAAAAAACGGTTGGCTGATAGTCCGCACGCTAACGCAAGTGTGCAGCGGTGGGAATCCACGCAGCGTCACACAAGCCACGAAAGACAGTGCTTTTTGTATATGAGTTCTTTTTTGGCAGCTCGGCTCTTATATTTTGATGGAATCCCCTCTTTCAAGGGCAAGCGTCTGAGGGCACGGGTCTAAAGCAAATATCCTTTTGCAAAATCAACTGTGCAATTCGTTGGACACCAGGCAATTTCATTCTAGACCCTTGGATGTCTGATCGAAGCACACGCTTTAATTAACTTATCCAACAAGTGCAGAACATTGCCCGATTCTTGTGCATTACTCTTGGATTTGAAAATTTTTGGGTGCTGCTTGAAATGAAGTGTTTTTCTGTGACGTGTTTGATTTAAATTTCCTTGTGGCCGCAGAAGGTCTAAGACTGCTTTTCTCGATGAAGGCGTTTGACAGAAAACGGTTTGCGATGAGGATCTTGTAGCTAGACCGACCTCACTAGAACGTATGTGAGAACCTTAGGCGTCTAAATACCGTGTTTCTTTTCTAGGCCCTTGGACACCCAAGCGTCTAGAATGAAATTGCCTAGAGTTCAACAAGTTGAACAGTTGAAATTGCAAAAGGGTATTTTGTTTCAGACCCGTGCCCTCAGACCAGTTCTGCACTTGTTGGATGAGTTAACGCATGTGCTTCATTCAGGGTCTAGAAAGAAATTGCCTAAACGAACCGCGCAGTTGAGTTTGCAAAAGGGTATTTGTTTCAGACCCTTTCCCTCACACCCTTGCCCTTGAAAGAGGGGCTTCCATCAAGATATATAAGCAGAGCTGCAAATAACAAAGAATTGTCTTGAGTCTTGAGTGGTTCGAGTTAAAGCATGTGCTTCATTCAGACATCCAGTGTCTAGAATATGAAATTGCCTGGTGTCCAACGAATTGCGCAGTTGAATTTGCAAAAGGGTATTTGTTTTGGACCCTTGCCGTCAGACAATTGGGATTCCATCAAAATATAAAAGCATAACTGCAAAAAAGAGCAAACAAATAACTGTCTTTCGTGGTTTGCCTGACACTGGATGGATTGTCACCGCTCCACACTTGCCTTAACGCGCGGACTTTCAGCCAATCATTTTCGCATCAATGACTTGTATTGAAGAACGTATTGGAGGCAAGCTGCTTCGATAGAGCTCGAAGTGGGGTCCCATATGGGCGGATAACAATTTTCTCCGCATTTTTGTTTCAGTGTGAATTTTGTCAAAAATAGCGCGCAAGGTTTCGGATGGCGTCAGTTCACCTGCGTTCAAACCCCAGCCTGGCGCTATTTGATGACGCCAGGGCTTGAAGAATGCGGGCGCTGATGGCGGCTCTGGCTTTTGAGGGTCCGTCATTGATCCAAAAAAACTTCTACCAAAACGGCTTCGCGGAATTGAGCTCGTGCAGATCACTGTCTTTGGTCAGACTCCGCGTGAACCTACCCATGTGCTTGGTTTTCCCCTGTCAAAAAGACAGAGAGAAAACCGCGGGAAAGGTTGTGGGGAAAAAGATGGGCGCTGGGATGGCGTTTTAGGAGAGGGAGGGGGGTCTAGCACTTTGCGCGCTTTGGAGCCAAGGCCTGGCCTAGGGGATACCATGCAAGATTCCAGGTTTTGGTCTGAGTTGAGGGCATGTCAATGCCCAAAAGCCCAAAACCAAACCATTTGCTGATACTGTACGCTATTTGGCCAAATTGTGCCTGGCCGTCTGAAACCGAGACCAACGCAGAATCTCGATCGAGAGACCTTCTGAGACGTCTCCTTCTTCCACCCTGCAATTGATTCTCGAACAATTTCCGGAAGTCTGGAAACTCTAGGTTTAACTATATATAGGACAGTCGGTTGGTCATGACGTGACATGACTGACACCAAACTGTGTGGTACCATAAACCATAAACTTTCCAAACCACACCAAAAAATTAGCCAAACAACTGCAAACAAATACAGTGCAAGAAACATGTTTCGATGCGTCCGCAATCTGGAAGATTTTTTCGAAGTATTCGACTTTCTGTGGAGCCACTGCTCAAATAAGACTGTTTGGGAAAAATTCAGCGTGTCACTTTATTTAAAGACAACCTTTGGCAAGACAGGGGGGGAGGTTGTTCAAACTTGGCCTAGGCCTAGGTTAATAAACGACCCTCAAGTATGGGCAGGCAACTCCTCAAACACCCTCGAAACTGATGGATAAACTCACCAAAGAAAAAACACGTCTCAGAAAAACCGCTTGCATGTTTATGTTTGTTGGTTGCTGCTGCTTGCAACTTTTTCTTACTTATTCATGTGCCATTGGTTGAAGTTTTCACCCTTTTTGGAATCAACGCCCCAGTGTCAGAAACTGCTCACATTGTTGAAGTCACTGTCCAGACTGTTCCAAAACACGGCCAGCCATGTATTGAAACTTGGTGCCGGAAGGTTAGCGCTTCCAAGGTTGAGTCTTTATTTATCGCTGCGTTGTTTTGGTCGCGCGACCCTCGCCTCGAATCCCAATACAGACTCTATTTGGATTTGTTTTTTTTGTCTGATGCTGACACAAACTGAACTCTGAAAAGCTACATGAGCTTTTTGACAGTTTTTGGCGAAAAGACTAGACTAGACATGACTAGACACTACTCAAGACATATTTGTAGCAATTACGCGGGCCAGTGTCACGTTCAATCAAAAGGTAAATAGTAGAAAACTCATTACGCCACTCGACACTTGAAAATTAAACACCCCGCCCACACACACAAACCTTGTAGCGCCAAACAGGTTTTGCAAGATGCCTATACATCCGTCGCAAAGTCTTGATACAGTCATCTATTTGCACGCGTTTTTGCATTTTTTGCAAACGTTATTTGGTCTGCCATCCCTTACCGAAGGCAGTTTTCCAATAGAGTCGGAGTCAAAGTCTTTCAGTAAGCTTCCTCGCGCTTGCGCAATTTACTGTCAATCGTGTTGCTCAAAACGCTGGTATTTACAGGGAGGTGCCTGCGTGCGCTGGGGCGTGCACTGAGGCGTGCACTGTGCGTGCTGTGCAAGGCACAGCGCGGAGCATCTGTCTATGGTCCACCCCAAAAACGGAGGTCCACTGTCGACCTGAAGGCCTGAAGGTTTTTTCTTCCAGCAGGCCGCTCCCACAGAGCCATCAGCACGTACACGAATCTGGACACTGCTTTGCGCAGATGGTTCTGCGTTTTGCTTTGTGACCACAATGCACCATTTCTGGCATTCCAAATTGCAGGCCAAAACTCTTTGCCCTGAAAATGCACAATGGCTCCTGTGCTGCGTGTCCGGCTGGTTAGCCGCAACAGTTATGTCTGCTTGAACGCACGGCCCCCCCAAGGAGTATTGTTGATGAAATTGATGGACAAAGCCATGCACCACTGGACGAGCAAACTCATGTATACACTCACGCCCCCTATTTAACATTGAGTTGAGGAGCGGGGCCTGTATACTATTGGAGGACCAGGCAACATGTGTTGCTGATTGGTGCACCATTTCGTCCATCAACCGTATGGTTTTTGAAAATCATTGAGCTAACCACTTTTTTGATAAGTGAGCTTTTATAGTCGGTAGCAGCGGGTGTTTCAACTCAATATATGTATATGTATAATATATGTATATATACATATATTTTTTTTTACAGTTTGTATAGATGCATATACATGTATACTTTCAGACAGCATGCAGAATCTACAATACTTGCGTTGACGTGCGAAGGCCAGCACATAAGTTATTGAAAATTATCTCTCGAAGGGTCAAGAAGCCGCAGTGCTTGGAGGCTCTTGAAGAAAGAGGGGACGGCAGGCACAGTGGAAGACTGGAATTTACAGCAGGTTTGGGAGGCCACCTCCCCAGCCTTCTGGTGTACTAGTTTCAGTCGAGACACGGCTATGTGGAATCTAGCCGAGGCACTTGAAAAGATCAGTGAGATCCAAAGTGAGGCTTGGAAGACCACCCGTGGTTTGTTTTCCAACCTTATTGTGTTGCCAGGGTGCCGTGCAGAAGCGAACGCAGTTGGTTGGGAAGCTGGCAACCGGTTGTGGGCGGAAGGAGCCAGCCGGGGGCAAGTTCATTTGCCGCATCATGCCACTCGTTTGGGAGATGGTGCTCGTTTGGTGGGACGGCGCGCGGATAGTGGTTGGTTTGATGCAAGAGTGGGCTTGTGGGGTTGATTGATCCGGTCGATCTCTGGCAGTGTGTATAACCCGGCCGTGACTCCATGAAAGTGAGCAGCTAGCAGCTAGGAAGTCGGGATGCTGCGCCCGCTGGTCACCCTTCGGGCCAGGTATGGCAAGGGCTTGGGCATCGGTGCAAACAAAAAGACCGTGGCGAAGGCCTTTGCAAAGCAGCGGTTGGTGCCCAATGGCGAGCGCTTGCTGGACTTCTTGGCCTCCGGCAGGGTACCTCTTAATAGCCTAAGTCGTATCTTAATAGCGAAATCCCATTTTAAAATGCGACAATGAATCCTGTAATAGCGAAAAGAACCCGCTCAAAGTGATTTCGGGCATCCTAAAAACAAATTTGGAGGGGCCCTTGCCGCTTCACATGCTTAAGACACCCGTAGTTGCAAAGACGCCCTCAAAGTGATTTCGGGCAACTTAAAAACACTTTTGGAGGTGCCTTTGCCGCTTCACATGCTTAAGACACCCGTAGTTGCAAAGACCGCCCTCAAGCCTAAAGACCATTTGGGAGGGGTCTTTGCAGCTTCACGCCCTTAAGACATTTAGTTCCAAACACCCCCCAAGACCTCCTCCAAAAATGTTGAATTGAAGGCACAATCAAGATCTTCCATAAACAAGTTTCGCAACTGTACGAGTTTCGCAATTAAACGCCACAATTTCACAAGTCAGGATTTGCCTTTTTCGATATTAAAGGGCGCCCTCGACAAAGCAGTTGTCAGTTGAGTGATGTGTAGGGAAGTGATCCATCCGGCGAAAGACAATGTGTGGTCGTTTCCTGCCACTTCGACACTGGGGCTGAATGGACTTGGGAGGAGATGCTGGAAGTGAATCCCGACATCGACAGGGTTCTGGAGTCGCTCGAAGGCGATTGCCAGGCCCTTGCCCAACTTTGGTCTCCAATCACTCCAGCATGTGCACAACCTTCCCGGAGCGTGGAGGAGGTGATGCAGAAGATTCACACGTGTCCTTGCTGCATTGACGGGCTGCTGCCATATTGGTTCACTTCACCAACTGCCTTTGAATTCAGCCAGCTAGCTATCATGCAGATTCCAACGGGCTTTGAGGAAAGGGAAGTCAATGAATTGGCGGGCTGAATGGAAGTATGATGGCGAACGCTTGCAAATACACGCAGACAAGAAGAGCAAACAGGTTCGCCTATTTTCAAGCAGCTCGGTGCGAACATCCAACCTGTCCAACTTCGACTGCCCGTTCCACTAAGGAAACCTCAACAACGTCACGGGCCGGTTTCCTCAAGTTTTGGATGCGATGATCACCGACAAACACAATTTCGAGAACATCATCTTGGATGCCGAAGTTGTGGCCGTGGATGGCGCAGCTTGGTTGCGACCCTTTGAAGAGAGTTCGGTTAGAGTGCATATAGACATAGCTAGACATTTAACGACCTTTATAACAAACTCTAAAACTTTAGTCGTAGTCCTTCTATGTGAAAATCAGTTCTCTTGAAATCGTGGCTTTGCTCGAGTGCTGGCTACTAGCCTCAGGATCGCATCCTTCCATTTCAGATCTTGTCTCGGCGGCCACGTCAAGCCCAAGGAAGGACAAAACAACAGGCTGGGAGTTAAAGAGTGTAACGCCTCCTGAATGTGGAACATGCATCGGGCGTTTAACAAATAGAAGTTTAAGGCTTGAATATGTTCCACACCCTTTTCAAGGATGTCGCCGATGTGGCATTCTTTGTGTTCGATTGCTTATTTGTGGATGGAGAATCGATCCTGCACCAGCCATTGAAAGAGAGACGCTCGCGGGTGCAACTTGGTTCGCACACTTGCCGTTTGATGTGGCCTTTCCACTGTGCAGGCCGTGCTGGTATACCATGCTAGGGTTCAGTGGCCTATATATGTATATACCTTTTTCACCCGCATTTTTACATTTTTTAGTTGTAGTTTGGTGCTCTCGGGTGTTTTGGGGTTCAACATTTGAGGACTCAGCTGAGGTGGAAGGTGCTGAGCAAATCTGATCAAATCAGGATTGCTGAGGGACAAGCTTTCACAGATGCGAAGGAGCTTCAGTGACTTGGATGTGTCGCTCTACAGTTCTAACCAAGAACCAAACAGCTGAAACGCATGGTGTATATGTCAGCGTTTTGGACGTTTTTATTGTTCCCCTTTCGTGGGAGCATTGGGTGGCACACTGGGAGCTTGATGACCTGGTAATCCTGATAATCCAACGGGTTTAGTTGTTTGGTCAGCTTCTTCTGGCTTATTGTCCATAGAAAGTTCAACTTGTTCTGCCATGGGTGGTGGGCCCCGATGCAAGGTCCAAGGCCCTGAGATAGAATGCTACAGAACATAGGATGGAACCCTAGTCCCAGCAGCGGGGTTTGTACATACTACATTGATCATGCCTACTACTGTATATTATAGCGTGAAGTACCCAAGACCCGCACAAAGAAGAGTAAGTTTGTACAGAATGGGGGTCATTAGCCGATTCAGAAACCAGACGACCAGGCAACTACAATTCAGAAACCAAAACAGCCGATTCAGAAACTACAATTCAGAAACCAAGATGGCCGATTCAGCAACTACGATTCAGAAAACCAAAACAGTCCGACTCAAAAACCAAATGGACCGATTCAGGAACCAAATGAGCCGATTCAGAAACCAAACGGGCCGATTCAGAAACCAAGTGAGTCCCGATTCAGAAACCAAAACAGCCGATTCAGAAACCAAAATAAAGAAACCAAGTCGGCTGATTCAGAAACCAAACCAGGCGATTCAGCAACTACGCTTCAGAAACCAACAGAGCCGATTCAGCAACCAAAAGAGCCGATTCAGAAACCAAAACAGCCGATTCAGAAACCAAAACGGCCGATTCAGAAACCAAAACAGTCGATTCAGAAACCAAGTTAGACTGTTCAGAAACTAAGCCAAGATAATGGCTTTCCATGTGGATGCAAAGAGCTTTTACATTCAGTCAAGTAAGAAGTAGTGGTGGACGGCAGGAGGAGTGTGGGGTGGGGGGGGGGGGGGGGGGGGAAACCGATGCAAAGGGCATTCAAAAAAGAATTAGTGGCGGACGGCAGGAGGGGTGTGGGGTGGGGGGGTGGGGGGGAATCATGGCCAGGATAATATCGTTTCTCCGGTTGCTTCGCGGAGAGATTTTGCATCGGTGGCACTACCACCATCTACTACTACTACTACCACTACTACCACCACTACTACTACAACAACAACCACTACCACTACCACTACCACTACCACTACCACTACTACTACTACTACTATGACGGCGACGACGACGACTACTACTACTACCCGGGTCATCAGTTTCTTCTTTTGGATGTTTTTGTTTTTGGTTTCCGGGTTTTGGTTAACGAATCAGCGGTTTTGGTTACCGAATCAGCGGTTTTGGTTACCGAGTCAGCAGTTTTGGTTACCGAATCAGCGGGTTGCAGTTACCGAATCAGCGGTTTTGGTTACCGAATCAGCGGTATTGGTTACCGAATCAGATGTTTTGGTTACCGAATCAGCGCTTTTGGTTACCGAATCGTAGTTAGCAAATCAGACCGTTTGGTTACCGAATCAGACGTCGACCCAGAATGTGCACGCAGTGGTGCTGAAACTGCAGATTGGTTGAACCCTGAAGTCAGGGTTGCCTTGGGCAAATCCATCAGAGCTTCTACGGAGGGCCTCATCCTCAAGAACTTGGATTCTCCGTACGAGCAGCTTGGCCGTCCCACCGATCTTGGGGTTGAACGTAAACAAAAATAGCAGACTCAACCACGTTGCAAGTTGGTACACAAACTGCAAAGGCTTGGACGCTAAGGCCTGGAGTCCGCACAGCAGAGTGGTTGAAGCTGAAGAAGGACCACTCTGCAAAGTGGCCGGTTTTGCAATCGGACGACGCGATGACATGAGGGGAGAAGCGGTGATCACGGTGATCACGTTTCGATCATGACCCGGCGTTCAGCAGCTTCCTGATCCCACCCTGGTTCAGATTATACGCGAGTTCAATGTTATTTGGGCAGCTCACGGGCTATATATAAGACCACCCCTGGGTGCATTTGTGAAGAGAATGCACAGTAGGAAAGAACTTCACACATGGCTCAAACTCCAGGACTATCTCGACAGCAGCCTCAGCTCCTCAGAAGAGTTTGGTTTTGCAGGGCGGGCGCATCTTCCCGCCTGCTCAGGTGATTCCATTGATGCAGTGGCGGTGGGTGTGAGGAGAGGGAATGGCCAGCGAAGCAGTGTCTACGGATCATTTCTTTTGGCAGTCAGGCCGGTGTTTTTGCTCCCTTCACTCTTCAGCGCTTTGGTTGAGCGAAGAGTCTCGGTTCAGCGTGACGCTGGAAGTGTGGTGTGCCACTTAGGTCGAAAGGGAGTTCTGGCCACTGCAAGTTCCAAACAATTTGTGCAGTTGGAACAGGTCTGACAAATCAGGTGCGGCGCTTAGACAGGAAACAAGTTTTCCGGGGGTGCGGCAACGTTGCCAGCACCAGTGGTGGAGTTCATGTCTGAAGTTTGGTGGGCTTGGTCCAGTGTCAGATTTCCTGCCAAGGTTCTGAACGATCTCTATGAATTATGTCAACCTTTGGTGAGCGATTCCGGAGTTGTGCCAGATTTCTTGGATGCAACGTCCGCTGGTTCGAAGGGGTGCTTTGGCAGAATGTCTTTGACAGGGCCCGTGTTACACTTGCAGCGCAATTATAGCGCAATGAAGGCAATGCTCCTTGTTCCAGGTGGATGTGGATCAAAGATTTTTGGAAGGCACCAGTGATGGAATCTTGGATTTGACTAATTGTCGTAACCATTGGTGACGTGATCGAACGTCGACAAGGGAGGTGAACGAGAATTGCTTTTCTCCAGGAAATCACCGCCGCCGATTTGACAGAATCTTCTGTCCATTCCTGTGGTCTGGGGCACCTCGAGAACAGCACCGTCCAGAGCCTATGCGTTTTTCTTTTTGTTTCTTTTTTGTTTTTACACATAGTGTTTTAGACCGCAAGCCCTTTATTATACCTTTGATGGTTGCACCAACGATGAAACACCGCTCGACGTGCGCTCCAACTCAAGAAGCAAAGCTGCAAAGGCGGCCGCGGACTTTTCGCGGACAGGTTGCCACTTAAGGCGTGGCGTCACGTGACGGATCCCAGCCCTGAGCTGGAAAGGGGGAGGGAGATTTGTACCGAAAGGGCCGGCGCCACTCCAAAGCTTGCGAACCTGGCAGGCTCGAGCGAAAGCGAAACGAACCAATGTGCCGTTGCACATTCACGTCGGTCAAAAGGGGACAGGTTCGGAAGCTTCGCCTGCTCATCCATCGCCTCTTCGTCCGAGCTAGCTGACATCACCAGCTTGCCCAACTGATGGGCGCAGCACTTGCAGGGTCGAAGGCGGTAGGTCACATTCGCCGTGCGGTTGCTTGCACGCTGGCAGTTGGAGTGCCAGCATTCTCTATAGGCTCTGTCCTGAAGATGTCCCCGTGTAAGACGTTCATGAACAGGTTCTTGGCTTCTTCTTGGCTTCGTTCTCGTGCATCTTGCGGACCTTCTCGACATCCTCGTCGTGGAGTTGTCGCTGTTCTCGAAGTCTTCGTTCTGCCTGGTTCTTGATGGACCGGCAGATGTTGTTCACTCGAATGGCTTGTTCTCGGAGCGCTGCATTCTCGTCCTGCAAGACTTTCTCTCTTCGTCGAAGCTCAGCCAGGGTCAGGTCGATCTTCGTTGGTCCGAGCATACTTGTGCACCGTGTCATTCATGACCTGAGTTGCCGAGGTTGTGGTCAAGGAAATTCTCCTTGCCCAGGTAGCGGTCATGAGGTGCCAAAGCAGGTTGGCCATCAGGGCAACGAAGAGAGTGAAGAGCGTGAGGAACACGAAGTTGTAGGAGTCCATGTTGTCTTGTGTAGCTGCTGCGTATTGTGGTGTTGTATGTTGTTTGTGCTGTTGCTGGTGTGCCGAAGCTCCTAGTGGTGTTGGTTGATCCGTTGGATCTTGGCGCCGCAGTACTCGATGTCCGAGTCCTGCTCCCAGGTGCGGAAGGTGAAGGACTTCTTCATTTGTTCAACGAACTTCTGGAAGGCTTCATCGCCCATTGCGCCACATCCGAGGATGTCACCAACATGTAGGCCAAATAGGCCGAGCAGTGGTGGATAGCGTACGAGCTTGCAGCTTGCCATTGTCATCTTTCTGGTCCAACCACTGTTCTTCAGGCGCTTCATAGTTGTAGACCATGAAGAGGCAGGGGTCCAATGGGTGCACCACTGCGCCTATGCGTGAGAGCTTTGTCGCCCTCCTGGCCGTCTAATCCAAGCATCTTCTTGGCGTCTGCAGCAAGCTTGCTCCACCGTGTTTGGTTGCTTGGATGTTCCTTGCCTTGGAGAAAGGCGGCGGACACATCAGCGCTGAAGGTGCTCCAGCCAGTATTGGCTGCAAGGTAGTTTCGTCCCATCCTCGAGAGGGTTGGTGCATCGGTGTTGAGCTGTCCGCCCCACGCATCAGGATCTCGAAAGCCTTGTGTGAACTTGGTCCACTGCAAAATGAAGTGTGCTTTCAGGATGCGGTCGGCTGGAATATGGCCGTCGTCATAGACCAGTTCCCAGACATAGTTCTGGAAGCTTGGCGGTCGGGAAGGCAAGGCGGTCCTCCATGCTTCATGTGTCTTTCGCTCAGCTGGTCTTTTCTGGCCTTCGTGTTCTTTGGTCTTGAGTCTTGGTTGTTGTTCTGCTTCGGCAAGTGCTTGTTGTGTTGCTTCTTGCTCCACATAGGACTGATGTCCATGGCTGATGTTGCAAAGGTCGTCGTGCCAGAAGTCTGAAGGCTGGCAGGATCTTGAAGGATGTGTGTCCTGTCCATATCTGTTGTAGGTCTTTGTCCTTCTGTTGCTTCCAACGGTCGTACTTGTCCAGGTTATCACTGCCAGTGGTGTGTCGGTCTTTGCTGAGGTAGTGCAACGGTAGTGGACATCCTGTTGCAGGGTCAGCTGTGTCGAACAACTGGTTCCTTGGAAGGTAGTGTTTGCGGATTAGCTTGTCGTGTTTGAAGATCCATTCGTCTTTGGTGGCCTCAAGTGTGAGGTAGCCGTTTTCCAAGTTTCATCCTGGAAGCAGTGTTGTGCTGCCTGCTTTGGCCATGTCTGCTTCATATGCTGTTTGCAGCAGTGCTTGTTCTGGATCAGGCGCAGGTGGTCTGCTGTACGGACTGGAGGTCGTATGTCGGCCCTCGAAAGGCTCTCTGTTTGGTCCGCGCCGAATGCAGTTGGTAGTAGGAGTGTAAAATGAGAGCGTCTATCGACTCTGGCCTGCTGCTGCTGGAAGGTTCTGGCGCAGCAGGTGTGTTGTACAATGACTGCTGGTGCTCAGGAATGGGATCGGTGATCGCTTGTTCGATCGCACTCGGTTGTGGTTCCGGTTCTCCAGTGCTGGGTGGAGGCGGTGCAGTTGCATTTGCCATTGGCAGTTCCTGTGGGCTGGGGTCTCCAGTGTTTGGAGTGAGCTCACTGCCGCGCTGTCCTGAAGTCGTGGTGTCTGTACGCATAGTCGGTTCCATTGGCTGGTCTTCGTCTTGTCTAGAAATAGGCCACGGTTGCTGATGGTCGGTGTGCACGGTCGGCGCGGTCCCGGTAGAGTGTCTGCCGAGGCCGGACATGGATTTGGCGCCATGTGCGACCATCTTCTTCAACGTCTCAATGATCCTGTGGTTCTGCAGGATTTGCGGCAGGTGGTTCCGTGACATCATCTTCGTCTTCTGTGACGACCTCAGCGCACCTGCGCTTGTTTGTGAGATCTGTGTATAGCGTTGCGCTTTTGCCACGGGTCTGGTCAAGGGCTTGCTTGGCTCGTTGTGTGGGATCTGTCTCATCTGTGTGGCTGAGGTCTGGCCCCAAGTGTTTGCTGGAAACTCTTAGGGGAGTTGTGCCGTGCGCAACCCAATAGGTGTTGGTCGTGGGGCGCGTACGGCCTGGCTCCGTCATCGCAACCACGGCTGGACCTTTCCATCTCAGTTTGGGGCCTGCTCCACCTCATACATCACGCCAGTAGTAAACATACTGGCCTGTGGAGTAGTGGTACTGGATGGAGTGGTGTTGTCTCAACAGGGCCCGTCGCAACCTGGCATCATTGTCCGCCTCAATCGCTGCGATGGCCGCTTGCTTCTGTCTGTTCCATGGCCTCGCTTGGTGTCAACTGGGCTGTGGTGAGGTCGTGATCCACGAGGACACCTGGTATGCGTGGTTGCGTGCCCATCGCCCATTGTGTGGCGCTGAAGCCTTGGACCTTAGGTGTGTTGTTGATCTAGGGCACGACATAGCAAAGAGAGCGGGCAATCTGGCCGTGGATGGCCATGTTTATCGCCCGGCTGTGTGCTGGGAAAAGTTCAATACCTCGTCGTAAGGCTTGATGTCGTCTTTCGAGTGCTCAGTCTGGTATGCGCTTGGCCTGGGGCGATCTCAAGTTCAGTGCCATGGTCCCAAGTTCTGCGAGCTTCTGAGGCCCAACCTCGGTGGTCATTAAGCTGGAGGATGGCTGGTGTTCCGTTCCGAAGAAGCGTGTCCAGCTTCGAAACCCTGAATGAGGTTTTCGGATCTTGGTGGTGGTATTAACTATGGATAGCGCTGGTTTTTTGTGGATCCAAACAGTGGCTGCTTGGACTCGTTGAAGCTGCCGCCAGTTCGCAAAGTGCTCTTGGAGACTTGGGCCGGTGCTCGATGGGCAGCGCAAAGCTGGCAGGTATGTTCTTGTGCTGCAAGGAGGATAGAGGCGCTGGCATTCTTGGTCTTCAGTACCGGATGGCCGAGGTTCCTGTGAAGTCGCTGAACCGTTCGACGGGCTGCTGCCAGTTGTCTCTTGTAGTCGTGTTAGGATGCCTCTCTCTATTGTTGTCGATCTGGTCATCGTTTTGCTCAATGTAGGGTGTCGTTGTGTTCTGCAGCGGCGGCGTCTGCTGTGGGTTGTTCTGCTGTTACTTGTATGAAATCTTGTGTCTGCTCGTCTGGCCAGAAGTTGTTCTGCATGAAGTCATGGAGGATGTTGGCCCAGTGCTCACACATCTGTGGATGGTAACTGCCTGCTGCGGCGGCTCGGCTGCCGATGTTGGGCAACTAGGTGGTAATGGTCATCGTTGCAGAGTCGTTCAAAGCTTTCACGGTTTTGCGTATTGCTCAACGCCATCATTGTCTGGCATTAGTGGTCCGTACTGGCATTGATCGATGTGGGCATCATAGCCTTCAAGCTGTTACAGTGTTTGTGTATCCCAGGATTGTGCAAACCTGGGACGCTCAAAGAAGGAGATGCGCTTCTGCTTGCGTTGTTTGTTGTGAACGGTTCTGCTGAATCGGAGGTGTGTTCCTTCTTCATGTTCTTGTTGTGCTTCGAGTTGCTCTTTGTCGGCCTCTGTCTTGATGTTGAGTCGCTGCATAGGCGACCATTTGGTGCAAGGAGGCGCAATCTAGATGGCTTTGGGCGCTGCGTGGTAGAAGAGGTGGATGAGGTCTCGTTGGTGGCTGCGTTTGGTAGAGGCAAAACCATTACCATTAGGGTTGTCAAAGGTCTTGACCTGGTAGCCCTTCTTTGCCATGGCGGCAGCCAAATTGGCGTTGCCAGAGTAGATCCCCAGAACTGCACAGTCCTGGCTTCATGGGCTGCTAGGACTTCATCTATGGCTGCCTTGCGGTGCAACGCTTGTTGTTGTTGTTGTCGTCACAAAGTGCGGACCAGTTTGTCGGTCAGTGCACGCCGGTGTGTTGTGTGACCATCATCGATGTCGGATGGGTCTGATGTTTCGTTACTGTCGCTGGAGGTCTCCTTTAGCTTCGGCAACCTTCAGGGTGTCGTCGATGTAGTTCAGGTGAAGCAGTGGGGTGGAGCCAGGAACCACATGGTCTGAACTCTGCCATAATTGCCTTTGACAAAAATGGGCAAGTCAACTGTTCTCCCAAAGTTCGGTCTCCATCGAACTGGCGAGCCCCAGCAGCCACTGTCTGTCTACATGTTCATTGTTGGATTTGACACATCGTATAAGTGAAATATTTTTATTTTACAATCTAGCGCACCATTCCACCAGAAGCAATGGTTCGAATAGACCGGCCGCGGAACAGAGGGAGGAAGTGGAGGCCACGATTCAAACCCCCTGTTACTTGCAGGTTCCAAGACAAAACCCAATCTTCACAAAACCCTATAAACCCTAAACCGCCTAAACCCTAACAGTTGCTTGGCCGACGAAATGGGCCACCAGATTTGACGAAATCTAGCGCCAGAAAAAGCACAATTGGAAGCACGAAAAAAGCACCAGATTCAACGAAATTTAGCACCGGAAAAAGCACCAGGAAAGCGCCAGAAACTGCGCAGGCAGCCGCGACAAAGTCAAACGCTGCTGAGGCCAAGTGCTCCGAGCTATCTGCTTTTGGCGCGCAGGTTCACTTTGGATGCGCAAAATTTAGCGCCAGATTTGACGAATGTAGCGCCAGAAAGGCACAACTGGAAGCGCAAAAAAAGCACCAGATTTGACGAAATCCGCCCGTGCCGAAGGTGGCGAGGCGCTTTTTCTGTGGCGTGCGGCAAAGGCAAGCATTGATTGGCTCAATAGCTTTAGCTAGGGGGGGCATTTTTGGTGTAGAGTCCTGTGTTTTCCAAGTTTTTTGATATGGCCCAATTGCCAAACATAGGTCCCATCTTGGCCAAACATCGGCCTAACATAGGCCCAGCATAGGCTTGATTGGGCGTCTGGGGGGGCATTTTTGCTCTAAAACCATGTGTTTTTTCAACGTTTTTGAATATCGGCAGGTTGGTGAACATAGGTCCCATCTGGTACAAACAAAGGCCTAACCTGGGCCCAACATAGGCCCAAGATAGGCTCAACACTGCGCAACATGGGGCCAAAATGGACCTAACATGAGCTCAACGTAGGCCCGATTTGGCGTAACATAGCGCTCTTGCAACATAGGGGTGAGTGGCCCCATTTTTGCTCTAGAACCATGTGTTTACACGTTTTTGAACATGAGCCAAAATTTGGCAAGTTGCTGAACATAGGCCCAACATACGGCCAAGATCGGTCCAGCATGGCCCAACATGCCCCAACATGGGGCCTCGTCCAATATAGGCCTGATTTGGCTAAACGTGGCTCTCTTGGCTCAAGATAGGCCTAAGAATAGGCTCAATAGGCTCAACATAGGCCCAACATAGCCTAACACAGGTCCATTTTGGCACCATGTTGGGTATGTTGGGCCTAGGTTAGGCCTATGTTTGGCCAAGGTGGGACCTATGTTCAGCAACTTGCCTAATTTTGGGTCATGTTCAAAAACGTGGAAAACATATGGTTCTAGAGCAAAAACGCACCCCCCTTGCTGGAGCTTATATTGGGATATGTTGGGTTCAGTTTGGCGCATGTTAGGCTATGTTGGGCCTATCTTGGGCCTATGCCGGGCTTATGTTAAGCCTATTGAGCCCATTCTTAGGCCTATCTTGAGCCGAGAGAACCATGTTTAGCCAACTCAGGCCTAAATTGGACGATGTTAGGTCCATTTTGGCGCCATGTTAGGGTCAATGTTTCGGACGCCAAAGTCGCTCTCTGGAAGACAGACGTTTGAGATATGGACTTCTTGGGCTAATGTGGCTGAAATGAGACCTATGTTGGGCCAGTGTTCAAGCACAAATTTTGGGCATTTCGGACTCTGAGCCAAACCCTGCCGTGCGGGCGGTTGCCGTCGCGAAGCGGCGCGAATTGAGCACCAGATTTGAAGAAATTTAGCGCCAGAAAAAGCAGAACTGGAAGCGCAAAAATAGCACCAGATTTGACGAACTTTCGCGCCAGAAAAAGCACAACTGGAAGCGCAAAAAATAGCACCAGATTTTGACGAAACCTAGCGCAAGAATAAGTGGCAGGGGAAGGCCAGAAACGCCAGCATTCCCAGGACCCAGCCCCACGAAACCAGCTATCGTGCCCCGGTTCGGCGCCCCGGTTCCCAGGGCCCAGCCCCACAAAAGCCGTTAATGCAAACCCTGAGATAGAAGGTCAACAAGGTCCAGAAGGTCTGAGGTTACCATTCATGAGGTCCACTCCCCCTGAATAATATGCTATGAGGCCATTAGACCATGAAGGTTGATACCGTGGGTTTTGAGAAGGGATGAAGTGAGGCCTGAATAGGTTTCGCGAAGGGATGAGCTGACGAGTATTGGCTGGCAACTGAGATGGGCAGCATGCTTTGGGAGAGGTGAGCAGCATGATTGGATAGAGATGAGCAGCATGATGATGGTAGCTGCACCATGCTCAGAATTTTTTAAAGTTGATCTAATGATTAAAAACAAACGAATATATTTTCTGTGTGGACTCGGTTTAACTAGGGGGGTCTATAAATCCTACCTCTGCATTGCAGGGAAGGCCGAGCCGGTTCCCAGAGTCCAGAAAGCGCTTAAAGGAAAAGCGCCCCGTCCAATTGCAGAGGACCAGCCTCACGAAAGCATTTGACAGGAAGAGCCCCGCCCCAATTCTCACAGGGCCCCGCCCCACGAAAGCATTCACAGGGAAAGCAGCGTCCCCGTTCCAAGGCGCAGCCCCACGAAAGCATTCTAAAAGGGGGCCAGCCCTGCGAAAGCATTTTAAAGGAAAAGCAGTCGGCTTGAACGCAGGACCCAGCCCCACGACAGCATTTAAAGGAAAAGCGGCGCTCCAATTCTGACAGGAAACTTACAGGGAATAGCGCCGCCCCGGTTTCCAGGGTCCTGCCCCACGAAAGCATTTTAGAGGCCGCAGAAGCATTTAAAGGCAAAGCGGTGCCCCGATTCACACAGGACCCGGCGCCACGAAAGCAATTACAGGGAATAGCAGCGCCCGGTTTTCAGGGCCTAGCACCACGAAATCATTTCTAAAGAAAAGCCGTCGTCTTGCCCACAGGACCCAGCCCACGAAAACATTTAAAGGCAAAGCGGCGTCCCAATTCCCACAGGACCGAAACAACTACTACGGCTCTTGGCGTCTCCCTTCTGGGCAGGGGATCTGGACTTGCCTTTAGACCCTTTTTCCTTCGGGATAGGGCCTCTGTTGGCTGGTGGCTGCGTTGGTGTCCGTCGGGGCGACGATGGTTCGTCGTCAGTTCTGCGAAACGCCGGCGGGCGCATTCATATAAGATTCCCCCCACTTCCGTGTCAGGTAGGTCTCTTCCTGAGCGGCATAGAGGTACTCTTCGTCATTGGGGTCTTCCTCCTAGTAGGCACCCTCATAGTCTTCACCCTCATAGGTCTCGAGCTCTTCGTCGCCAGCTTCATAGAGCTCTTCAGGGAAGTCGTCGAGGTCATAGGCGGTGTATGCCGACCGAGGTTTCTTCCAGCGGCTGTTGCCATTTCCACTCGTTGGTGGTGACTGTAACCAACTCCGCCTCTGTAGTCCTGGCCGAAGAGGTAGTGCGTGGCTTCTTCAACTTTGGCCTCCTGCAGGGTGGGGCCACATTGAGATTGCGCCATGTGCTTTTGCTCTTGGGTCAAGCCACTTCGACGAAGCAGGAGCCATCCAGTAACTTCTGTCGGCGACTCAATGCCATGCTTCTCCACTTCTCTCAAGCATTCGCGATGCCCAGTGCAGTATAGGCCATCTACGTCTGATGTTCACCACATCGGGAGAGGGAGTAGAAGAACTTCTCAAAAGCTCGAGGTTGTTCGACGCTCTGGTCGTACTTGAAGGTCCGGTCAAGAACTTCTATGAGCTTGGTGAAGCCATTGTCCTTATCATCGCTGATGGCCTCAGCGATAGGCTCGATCTGCTTCCAGGCAACACCTGACAGGTTGGTGACGATGTTGATGATCCCTCCCATGGGTTTCTTCTGTATCACTATCTTCTTCTGGTAAAGATGGATTCGAGCATGCCGTTCTTTGTAGTCCGAGGGCTTGTTGCTGAACTGGGGGGGGCCCAACTGTCTTTGGAGGAATTTGTAGCGCTCGTCGATGATGTAGCCACCGGTTTGGCGATCTCGAAAGCAGCGCAGGTAGCGTATGGAGCTCGAGCCCGTAGGCGCCGCTACCAATTTGATGGTAGCGCCAACGTGAAGCACCGCTCGAAGTGCGCTCCAACTCAAGAAGCAAAGCTGCGAAGGCGGCCGCGGACTTTTCGCGGACAGGTTGCCACTTAAGGCGTGGCGTCGCGTGACGACTCTCAGCCCTGAGCTGGAAAGGGTGAGATTTGTGCCGAAAGGGTCGCCACTCCAAAGCTTGCGAACCTGGAAGGCTCGAGCGAAAACGAAACGAGCCAATGTGCTGTTGCGCATTCACAATGCCTTTATCGTTTCCTTAATTTGGTCGATTCTTTTGAGCCCCTGGCCTTACTCGTTTGAAGCCTATAGCTACGGATGTCGATTTCGCTGTCAGCCCAGTCGAATCCAAGTGTTTCTCCCAGGCCATTGGTCTTCGCTTTCCTCGAGTGCTGCGCTTACGTCCAGACAAGGGCCCAGAGTGGCTCGGAAGAGATTTTGGGAAGCGACAGGCAAAAGCAAGGAACCGTTGGCTGTGCTGTGGCGTTTCTGATCATGATTGAGCACGTTAGTTTTTGCACGTCCCGTGCATCAACTCAAGAGTGAACAGCATGTTGCTTCCAGCGTATGATGCTTGCGCGAGCCTCAGCCTCTACGCCCGCCACGCCCAAGGCAGGCGACAACGACTGAGCAGGTCGTGTCAATGTACAACGACCAACCGCAGATCAAGTCAGTGCGACGAAGCACCAAGGGCTCTGGAAAGCCCAAGGCTGAGCCCATGACAAAGCGCATGGCAAAGCCCGAAGCTGGTTTAAAGCGGAACATGATGAGGATGGGGATGGCTGTGGTCACAATGTGAACTCCAGAAGTACTAGCTAGAAGTAAGAGGCAAGCGTGCGACCTCTTACAATGTACCTTCTGTGATGAGATCTAGAATTTGCACTTTCGACTCGATTTGGTCGAGAAAGTTTTGAGGTTTCCGCTTCGAAGGGTGCGAAGGCTGGGAAAGGGTGAGGCCCACCTCCGGCGAGGCCTTTGGGATTTGCTCACTGCTGAGGTGAGGCTGATGCCGGTGGGTACTGTGTGGGCCGCGCCCACCGCCCATCTGAAAGGACCTTCGTCATGGAGGTGGGGGATTTTTTCAGCCAACAACAACTCCGATTGTGAAGCCTTATGCTTTTGGACATGCATTAGCTGCTAGCCACCCCCTTCCGCCCAGTAGCTTTGTTTGTGGGGAATTGTAAGTACTTAAAAACTGTGTTCCTTCGTTCTCACATTTTTTTCCATCTCTTCTGCCAATTTTGCAAGTCACTTGGTCGACTTTAATAGCTTCAATCGGACCGTGGCATCCACATCCACAAGGTCCTAGCGAGGTGGCCCGAGTTTCGGCCCTTCCACGTGCATTCCCGGCGAGTCTTTCGCCACGGGCTCACGCTGTTGGAGCCCCAAGGGCCATTAGGCCGAGCGACAGAGCCGGAGCGACGGCCATGTGGTGCATTCCTGCCTGAGGCTTCAACGTGGAGGGCTTCTCACGAAGGCACTCCGGCGGATTCAATTCGGGTGTTGCCTGGGCATCCAACCAATCATTGGTGGGTTTGGGTGCTGCCACGTGCAAGGAGAACCCATGGGGCGCTTTCTGAGCGACCGCTTGGGACAATGAAAAAATTCTCTATCCATGCCACGTTCAGAAGCTGGACGCAAGTACAACTGCAACTGACTGTAGAATTATAGTTAGTTAGTTTTTGCTTTGTCCTTGTGGCTTCAGCTGTGAGTGCAGAATTATGACAGCAAACCAGCCAGAAAGACTGGACCGAACGCAGAAATGCAAGAGCCAACCACCCAAACGCTGCTCTCTCACTCCTTATACTGTATCTATCTCTTTGTCTCTGTCTCTCTCTCTCTCTCTAACTGTCTATGTCACCGTATATTTCTAGCAGGGCACAAGCCTCAAAAAAGAGACATAAAAAGACAACAACTGTAAGAAAAACTGATTTGGGATACGCGGCCATGTGAGGAAGATGATTCAAAGCTTTTGGAGCTTTGCTTGGCCACAGGAGAAGGATGAGTCACCGCAATCCCCGGAGACCATTCCAGAGGAGAAGCGAAGCTGGGCAAGTGTCTTTGAACACTTCCGGGAGAAAGGTGAAAACTCTGAGACGAATTCGGCTTCTTCTGACCTGAAGGCCTTCCGCAGCTTCGCCCGACGCGCGCATCAGCTGCTGGAGCGACAGCAGCAGAGGGCAATCCAGAGCCGTCGAGCTGCGCTACATGAAAGCTCCCTGCGAACGGAGCGCTTGAGCCTGGCGCTGGCTGAAGCGGAAGAGTTGGAAGACCTTCTGAAGCAGGCAGGGTTGACATAGAGATGGTAGAGAAGGTCATATGCAAAGACAGTTCAACCTGCAAATTGTCTCACTGTAACTTCACTGAGGTGATATCTGAATGAGCTTGACTGCTTACTGTAGCTGTCTTTCTATGGCTAAAGAATGGTGCATAAGACAGGGATGTCCCTTATCCATCCTTATCCCCTTATCTCTTCATCTTACTCATGTCCACGATGTTCTCAGACATAAAGACAAGGCTGTCTACGCCCAAACAGGAAGAACCCCTTGAAGGAATCACTCTTGCAGAAATACTCTATGCTGACGACATTGATTTTTGGCGACCACACGCCTTCAATACTATATATAAACTGCTCGACGAAATAGAAGTGGAATCCTCCTACTACAACATGAAACCCAACTACGGAAAATGTATTAACATGACTAAATATCTAGATGGAACTAAGGTCCCACCACGAGACAGTCGTCCAGTATAGCTAGGATCGTTATTGACAGATACGGTGAGTAACGCAGCAGAAAGAATGACAACTTTCAGACAACTCAAGATCTTCTGGGACAAGGCGCATACCATTACAAATTGGAAACTGCGCGTGTTCAAAGCAAACATACAATCAAGACGTATGTACAGCCTGGAAGTGATCCAACTCACTCAATCTGAACTAAACAAACTAGATATTTTTCAGATGAAGGGGCTGAGACGAATTCTCAAAATACCATCAACTTTCATAGATTGAGCACACACCAACCAAGTCGTACTGCAAAAAAGCAAACACGCATGGAGTGTATATTCAACAACTCTGAGATTTTTGGAGACACAGGAAGATACTGTAAGTCTATTACTGTAGGCCACATTCTCCGAGCAGATGCAAACAATCCTCTCAGACAGGTCATTCTTGAAAACCAAACGTGCATCCCACGAAAACCACCATATCGAAGGCAAGGGGGGCCGAGAGTGGACTGGCTAACTGAAACGGTGGAAGACACTTTCCATTTTCTCGGACACAACCCGCCCCAAGAGCCAAGCCTCCCAAGACATATGAAAGGCTCCAAAATGCCGCCAGGAACCGAGCATATCCATTTTGAGGAAAACAACAATCTAGCAATCTCTGAAAAGAAGGGCGCTGCCCCATCAGCCTACGGGCTTACACAGTAATTGCATAGCGAAGGACACTTGCCTTTCCCCGAGCCTCGTGTCACCTCGTACTATGTTCATTTTTAACCCGAACAAGTGAACGCTTGTTGCGCCGCGTTCCGGCAAACTCCTTGCCTGGTATATGCACATCACAATGTGAACACATTAGATTCAGCTCCTCTTGTGACAGACCTGCCCGCTTCCCAAAGGCCCAAAGGAACGGCCCTGTCAGGTAGAGCCCTCCTCGAAGGTGTCTGAGTCCGACGTCGAGCGGCTCTCGGGCTGGTCGACCTCAGCCTCCTCGACACGGGCGAGTGGGGTCAGTGGGGCAAGCGGCTCCAGTGGTGCAGCAAGCCAGCCGGTGCAGTTGTTGTCGGGGTGGGAAGGCGAAGATGTCGAAGCTAGGCAAAAGTTGGGGCTGCTCCAAAGTGCCATGTCCCAAGCTGCCGGCGAACTGCGCTCAGGGCTTTTGAGACTGTCCAAAGACTCACCCAAAGAATTGTCAGAGGACTTTCCAGGCATACTGGCAACCTTCTTGCCCCAGTTGGCACAAAGCTGCGCCGATGCGATGCAAGTGGGTGAAGACGATTGGGCCACCGCAGAAGCTTGTCTCTTGGAGGCCTTGGCACAGACCTCACAGATGACTATGACGCTTGAGCCTGCAGATCCAGATTTCTGCATGCCTGACTTGGATCATAGCAGCCTCCCTGAATAGTGCTGGTGAAAACACTGTAAGTAAGCTAAGCTTTAAGCCATCTGGTTGGGTTTTAGGACTTCAATTTTGAGGTACAAAGGCAGGCGTTTGATGCAATCCTTGCTGGTTGGTGGAAGAGTTGGACCATGCTAGACCTTTGATGTGATCATGCTTTGTTTCCCAGGCATTTTTGCAAGGCTCCATCTATCCTGAAAAACTGGGGTCCGTGATGGGCCTTCAGTTTCTGCAGCTTGGCACCCGAGGTACTCTTTTCACCGAGATGCCCGGAGTGCAACTTCTCGAGGAGCAGCGTGACCAGCGGGCGTTGCAGAAACTCTTGGAGAGAATCGAGGCATTGAGCCAACGTTTTCAATCCGAAGCGCCGCCGCCCGTGCCCGAAGCGGCGCGAGGGCAAGGGCTCAAGGGGCTCAAGGTCCAAACGCTCCGGAGTGCAAAGCTGGATGAGCTAGAGGGGCAAGTGCAGAGGTTTCTTGGGAACCGTTTTGACACTGTGTTTGCGTTATCTTGGGGAGACTGTTTTCAATGGTTTTGTTGCAGTTTAGTTGTTCACTATATGACTATGCTGTTCTAAACTTTGGCATGCCAGCTTGCGGCTGCTTTTGGCGGGACGCTGAGGTTGGTGGAGGAGAACCAAGCTTTGGAAGAGAGGTTGGAACAGGAGCGAGCGCGTGTGGAAAGCCCTCCATTAGGCTGGGCCAGTTTCAGTAAAAGATATCCTTTTCAACCCTAGCAACACTATGGCACCACGAGGCCACCGACGACATCTTGACAAGAAGCTCTCTCCAGCAGATTCTTGGAAACATGTGCGAGAGAGAGGTAGATGATCAGGTAGGTGGATGGGTGGCAATGTAGAAGGAAGGCAGGAAGGAAGGAAGGAATGATGGATGGATGCATTGGATGAATCTTTTTCCAGAGATTGTGGTTGCTCGGCTGGGTCTTGCTGCGGCCCTGTTGCGGCTCTTCAAAGACGTCGGACTCGGGCAGTGCCTGCGGCTCCTGGTTTGGGGTCACCTATGCCTCCGTCGCCTGGCTTGTCAGGGCCGGGCTCGAGTCGGGCAAAGTCACCTGAAACGGCGGTGCACCCACAGTCGCAGTGCCAACGCGAGACTTGCAACCCACCGCGGCCCGAGCACCGGCTAGGCACCGCGCCACATCGTGCTCTCGTGCTACACACACTGCCGTCGTTTGCCAATACCCTCGTTTAGCCTCAAGTTTTCTGCGTGTTGCTGCCTCTTCGGCGTCAGCACTTGGTTGTTTCAGCAGTCCCTGCAGCTGACAAGTCTTTAGTTTCTAGGTCCAGTTTATGAACGATACTATAACCTGTGGGATTTGTCGACTTTGGTCGGTCCCCTGAAGCTCTGTGGGTCATGTAATCGGTGAGCTCAGCCGGACTCTGGAGTTAGTTCACCTTGCCCACTCGGTCTTCCGTACAGTACATTGGCGATGCTTGTGCCCCAGTCGGACGCTGTCATTCCAAATCGGTTCTTGGAGTTGCTGCCCTTGCACAGCTGCCAAATCGTGTCACAGGAAAAGAATCGAATCACCGGGAAAGCGAAGATGCCGTGGTGATGGTGCACGACGGGGTAGTCCAGCTGCGGGATTATTCAAAGTGCAAGCTAGCCCCCTCGAGGAGTTCAGTGATGGGATGAATGTCTCCAGCGGTCTTTGTGAGAAAGACACATTTGGGACCCTCAGTGGCGGCGTTGCCCTAGGACCTAGGAGATCACGTGTAGTCCCTACAACCTAGGACCTAGGACATTTTGCGGCGCCAGCTTGAGCACTTGTGTCTTGACCCGTGGGTGGATGGATGGATGGAAGGAAGGATGGATGGATGGATGGATGGATGGGTAGATCGTAGGTGTGTACACCAGTAGATCCAGAGATAGACAGAGAATGGAAAGACAGATCTAGGCAGAGAAGATGCCGTGTGTTGGCAGGGCTGTTTCCAAGGTTTTCACACGCCTTCCAGGGCTGTTTCCATGACTTGTGTTGAAGAAGGTTCGGCCTCGGCATCCTTAAAGGACGTAATTGTAAAGTGGGGATAGACCCACAGCAAAATCAATCACGTGGGGACGCGCCCACAGCGAGAGTAATGTTGTGGGGATGAGCCCACTGCCAGTTGATCTAGTGGGGCTGCACCCACTGCAAATGCTTTTAACCGTATGAGGACGGCTCCTCGCCATATACTGTTTTCTTTCTGCTGCGATTCAGCTCCCACCCGCCCTACCTGCTTGCTGTGAAAAGGCGTTTGACTTTGTTCAAGTCCTTTTGCTTTACACATTTCGCACTGTCCACAGTTTCTTTTGGACACAATCACCATTCGCTTAAAGAGAAGCATTCAAACATCGATTCTTTATATCTTTCCGGGCGCGAGAAGAGAAATTAAGCCAGCAAACATCATCAGCAACGGAATTGGCACCGTCACGAAACACGGCAAGCATAACATCTTGAATC